CGAATGCCTCCAGAAAGGAAGGCTAAGCAACTGTTCCTTGCAAATCCGACCGCAGAAGGTTCAGGGGACGGCCAAGATTAGCCTGGTGCAAACATATGGAAGGAGCCTGTTTCAGACTCGGCTTGTGTTTTGCCGACTCTCAGACTCTGGCGCAGAATCGGGAACGTTGGAAGTTCTGTCTGACGTGTCTGCCTCCGCGACGCGAAAGAAGAAGCGGAGATGGAAGATGATGATGATGACATAAGACACGTTTAACAATTTTATTTTTAACACCGTATTGACCTCCTTAGTTGTCTGTCATGATGTAATGTTTCTACCGGGGACAACAAGTGGTGTCTAAGTCAAAGTTGACGTACGCTTCTACCCCTTCCACTGGGTTGCTTATGTCGTTGTCGAGGGAAACGTTGCAATCTGTTGTTTTGTGAGAGACTGGAACCGATTATTCTTACGACATTTAATCACCTCTATTAGAGGTAAGCATAATAAATAACCTCTGTGCTGAATAATAGAACGTTGTTCCTGTTTGCTGCAAATGCGCATCTGAGGTATAGGATGCAATAACGCCAGAGGTACCCAGAAGCGCAAGACCCTAATGCTGAAACAGTCAGGATTGCATATCGTTGAGCAATCCATTCTCGCGTCGACTTTTGCCAGAAACAAAGTGGGGGGGGCAGTGAGAGCAAGACCATTTAACGCTGTCAAGTGATTAAGGTTGACTTCGTCCGTGAACACAAACTGTTGACTGTTCAAACCGTGGCCGACACTGCCGCAAAATTTCTACACAAAGGGTACAGTAGGTAGACGGTGTGTGCAGATCAGCAATGTGAGTGTTGGATACTCCAGCATGTACGTTGGCTTGCGTTCCACGACGAGACACTGTATATAACCTACGCATAACTTGAACTTCTCTGAATCGTTTACAGAGCAGGTCAAGTCGATGCACGCCATTATATTACCATTACGAGACTTAATTTCGTCGGACTGATCAAGGCGTGAACAGAGACGTCTTCCGAAGCGAGAATGTTCTGTTCTTCTGTGAAATGAAGCTAAGTTTATTGTAAAAGAACGGTACAAGTGTCGTTGAAAAGTGGCATGGAGAGAAACGCCTTAACTTCATTGAACTTCGGCAGGAGAGCGAGACAGCTGTTGGAAATCATCGCTGGAAAAGGTAGACTAGCCGAAAGTTCCAAAATATCCTCATTCTCTTTCGAGATAGATAGGAACGGGATTCTACAACGTTCCATGGAATCAGATTCTTCAAGTCTGCGAGATTACAGTATCAGATAGCATTTGTCGAAGCCATTTTGGTTCTTCAGAGAATTTTACTAGAAACTTGTTTTCCTCTGTTCAAGTGGTATGCAATTAAGCCAAATACAGATTCGCTTGACGCAGTCCTCAGATATTGCATAAGTGATGCCCACCGATGCTTCAGTCCGGAGTTACGTCGAGTCTTTTTCTCTGCCACACAAAACTGTATTAGAAAGCAAAGGCGTTTGTGTTTGTTCAAATTATCACTTCCTCGTTAACTGACTACTTTAGTGTTCATTACGGATTAATTCGCTTGCCAGCTCGGTTACTAATTCGGTTTGGGAGTTGCGTTTCACTGAGTTATTGTCACTCTGTGGCGCAGTTTCATTGCCTCCTGCTGCTCGTTACGGGGATGGCGATGACGGTTTGAAAAAAAACGTGCAACAGCGACGCTGAATGGAACGGACGACGCTCAGACGGAAGGGGGATAGCTTCCGTGTGATAAAACAATTTACCGAAACAGGCCACCTCAGTTCGACGCACTTTTGCGATGGAACGAAAGGCTTATTTTTCCAGTGCAATGCAGAAGCAGGAAATGAGGTGCAGAGGCAATGAAAGTGAGTTGTCAATGACAAGTGACACGGGAACCTCTGCAGCTGCTCTAAAGACCTAGCTCTTGTATCGGTTCGAGCAACAGACTCGTTGAAAAAGAGGGATTGTAAAGAAGGCCAATCGCGCGTCGTGGAAATCGCATTGCTCACGATCCAACCAATCTCGTCCATGATTCATCACCAGAGATACCACAAGAATGCCAATATTGGAAGACCGCCGTAAGTAGATGAAGCAGCGGCTTTGATCAATTCTCTTTACAACCCACGCAGTCAATTAAATTGAAGTACCTCGGTGAGCCACCAGCTTGAGCACAGAACTAGATGTCTGACTTTCCTTCATAACTGAGGTTGTCGTTGAGCATTGTAATGAACTCAGAAACGGTCTTTGACGAGACAACTACAAATTTAGTTCAATGCATACCTTCACGCCTTCAAAAACCTACGGCCAAGGATGGGAAAAATATTGAGTGTTGCGAGGTGGATGGGAGGACGTCTTTATTTGCCGTCAAAGGTGACGTGATTTTTCGTATAATTATTGTTGCTTTTTCTGCAACCGTATGCAGACTCAGTGACGTTTAGATATGAAGCGAATGTCAAGCGAGATACTGACTGGCAGGCTGCGTGAGAGGTTGCACGTAGGACTTAGTGACTGATAAAACCAAATTTGAAAACTTCCATGGAACGCCATGGACAATTGAATAAAAAAATTTTGTGGCTCATTATGGAAACATATAAGAAAACAACGATTTATCTAAATTCAATGAATCAGCGAAAAAATGGCTTTTGGAAATTAACGATGATTTATATTCCATGCAATATATTCCAAGTGATCTATGTAATACTATGCTTATGCAAGATTTCGAAGAACTAAAGCGACTGCATGTATATTTGAGTAGCAGCTAATTTTTCTACACCACGTAACATGTCGTGTCATCGACATTTAAACACCGTGTTCAAATGTTTACTGATATGCAGACTGATAGAATGTCAGTAATCGTTTGAGAAACAGCAAAACATGCAATTTTTGAACAGCTTTTACTTTTACCGGCAAGGCACAACTTCAAAAAGTGTTTCATTTGTATAAGTTTCACAAATGCTAGCCTTCTACTTCTGCCAGTGATAATGACATTTCAATTTATGAAATTAGACTAATTTATCATAAATGTGCTTTCTATAATTATAGATGTATAGAGGGACCATCTGAGCGTGCCACGACCAACAGTCTTCGTACCAGCCCAGAGATGCATTTCAGGCGCCCAAATAACATGAGATCATGACCTGCTTGAATGGTGGCCGCATTTTTCTAGAAGAATAGGGTAAGTGCGGTTACACGGAGTAAATACGGTACTAGGATTTGAAATGCTCTTTTCGCTCATGCTGCGCCTTGCTTCTCCCATGGTGCGACTTTCATTTCAATAGGCTGGATCAAAGCTAGCTGACGTGCCGTTTATTACGACGTTGGGTTTAGAAAAGCAGCCACGTATTCCACATCCATTCAAACATCACTCTGTTTCTTCATAGTATCCTATGCTTTCTGCTGTTATACACAGCACCCTTTAATGAAATCATTTGCTAACCTACCATGTGTCAAATGGGTTGTTTCAAGTTGAACATTGTTTCACGACACTTAGTGTGATCTTTCGCAATTTGTTTGGCCATTTGAACCGTGCTTCAGCTTTTCCACTCATTCATTCGTTCATTCATGCATTGATTCGTATGTCTGCTCCTTATTTCGTCCACTCTTTCGATCACTTATTGTCTCACTTATAATTTCGATCATTCATTAAATCATTCTTTATTGATTCATCTATTAAAGTACCCACTCCTCTTGTCGGTTTGCTGGAGCAATCGCTTAGCGAGACTTTTGAAACACCCTCCCTGCCTTCGACGAAACTCAGTGATCTGGATGCCAAAACAGCAAAACGAAACATATTGAACACAACCACGGAAGATATCCGTTTGAATAACGCTATATAGCGCTATTCTAAAACGCGTTTAATGATAAACCATGTACAAATACAGTCAACAGAAAAACTTCATGCTAACGGAAATATTAAAATCTTAGCATGAAGTTACCGGAGGTTCGAGGGACAACATGAAATCAACCAATCATATAGACGTATCTTCGATTGTATGAGACGTTGTCTGTTTACTGTTTTTCATTCACTGCTATGCATGAGTGACATCGGAGTCAGTGACACCTTTCAAAACAGGGCTGAGTTTGAAGTGGCACTGATCCGTGGACGACTGAGACGTCGTTACTTTAGAATCATTTCGTCAGGAGACCTGCGGTTTCTAGGACGGCATGATTGCAACGCGCATTTTCTCTGCCTTTTTTTTGAACCGGAGCCCCATCTTTGTAGCAGCCGTGTCATTACGGTCCTGATTTCTGGAATCCGAATGGCATACACGATCGGGTTCACGAGACTTTTCAGGAGTATGCATAAATTTGCCAAGATGCTGATGAAAAATACAACATTGTAGGCTGAAGTCTGAGAATATGGAAATAGGCAAGTGCTACAGGTGAGGACGAAGATGAGGCTGGTTGGTATCCAGCCAACAACAAATGTTCCCCAAATAATCAGAGTCGTGACCAGGGTGTTTCGCATTCGGCGAATCCTTTGACTGTTTGAACAGTGTTGCTTGATTAGAAACTTCTTCGCCTCTTTGTTCAGGAACACCAGTACCGCAATGTACAGTAGCGACATCATAACAATGAACAACAATATGATGATCGATATGGTCAGGCGAAATTCCAATTTGTGAAAAAAGTCAACATCGGTGCACTTGCCATCCGGGGATCGAAATCCTTGATTTTCGATGGACGCAAAGCACAGTAACAGAGCGACTGGTGGAATGACCCACAGGAGCACTATGACGGTCAACGTGTTGCGGGTGCTCAAAATTTTGTGATGAAGGAACGGCTGCGAGACGACGATGTAATGGTTTACCGACAGAGCCAGTAGATGCAGGGTTCCAGTTAAAAGGCCACCCGTGTGAATACCTTCAAACGTGAGTGCGACGCATGCACTGATCGACAGACGATACACCACCGTTATATAACTATTATATACTAAGCTAACAGCTACGATGGTTGAGGTCCAGACGTCTGAAATCGCCAAGCTCACTGTAAAACGCAGTGTTGACGTTGGCTTGGTTTTGACCCACCTGAGCGTGACTAAGACCAACAGGTTGCTGACCATCACCAAGACACAGATGGAGATGAAGATTGGCACCGCAACTGCGTATGCGTTTTGACGCCAGCCGCTAACACCTCCATAGTAAGAAGTTGTGTTTGTCGAATTCGAATTCGATGTCGCCAACCCGCACATTCGAGAGGAGTGGCGTCGACCCTGACTCCCTGACAATCAGCTTGTACGTTTTCAAGGCGGTACACTAACCTGAGAGTCAAACACAGCCTTTTTATAGTTGCATCAAGTCACGTGATTCGATGCAAGAGAAACATAAATCAATTTCCAACAAATGCTGTGAAATTGTCTGGAAAATGTAAAGGACGACGACGACAGTGGCAAAAGACGGCAGCAGAGGACAGCACACAGCATGAGCGAGTGTGTGAGCATTTTTCCTCGTTCATTCGACTTGACTTCATTGTGAACTCGCCGAGGACGCAAGCCCAACCGCCTCCAATCAAGTCCATTATTGAATGTTTTTTGGTGATTGATTGTTTGCTGGTCCATTCGTGGTGCTAACCTTCATGAGTGCGTTTCATACTGAAAAAACCTCTCCGCGGCATCGACTCTTGAAAGACACGTCATCTTCCACAACCGCATTCTACCAGGTCTGTTTGCACCGACTGTAAAATCGATACCTTTCCTAAAGAAGCACTTGAGGAAAGGACAGTATCCTGCGGAACTTCGCACTTCTGCCTTGCCGGTGGTCTATTGTTTATTTTTCATTCAATTCTTCATGTTTCAATAATTCCATTCGAAACAACTCATGAACGATTGTGGCTGGTT